TGCTGGTCACGCTCCTTTTGATGCAGCCCAGGATATGGTTGGTTTTCTGGGCTGCAAGCGCACACTGCTGGCTCATGTTCATTTTCTCATCGACCAGCACCCCCAAGTCCTACTCTGCAGGGCTGCTCTGAATCTCTTCTTTGCCCAGCCTGTAGCTGTGCCTGGGATTGCTCCGACCCAGGTGTAGGACCTTGCACTTGGCATGGTTAAACTTCATGAGGTTGGCATCAGCCCACCTCACAAGTGTGTCAGGGTCCCTCTGGATGGCATTCCTTCCCTCCAGCATATCAACCGAACCACACAGCTTGTTGTCATCAGCAAACTTGCTGAGGGCGCACTCAATCCCACTGTCCATATCAGCTACGACAGTTAACAGTTAAAACAGTTAACTGTTAAAAATCCAGGTGTCGTTTTTTCATCTGGCAAGGCATACCATGCCTTTAACGCAAGCTCCTGAGATAGGGCAAGCACTGTGGCTGGAAAATTCACCTGCGCTCGCAGATCATCATATAGACCCACCCCCATTAATACATTGGCAGTGATGCCGAATAAGGGATCCCACTGTTGCCCCGGTTGTTCCGCTGCTTGGTGACAAGCTAAATCCCTCTTATTAAAAAAACATATCTGAAGGTGGGGAGTAAGCAACGATTGAGCTATCGTACGAGTATCATATGGTGCTAATATATATGCAGAAAAAATATGTGCGATAATTGCCTGAGCATACGATGATTTTAACCCGTAGGATGTTATCGCTTGATGCTCCTCCTTTACTACCTTTAAATCCAGTGCCTCCCACTCCTTTCCCCCCTGTAGAGTGTTAAACACCGGGAATGCCGAGGGACCCATAGATGAAAGTTCCCCCATAACAATTGCATGTTTGATCATCCCACGCCAACGTTTAGCAGGGTTATTACCATAATCCCCTACCCCGTGCCAAACACCCGCCTCCCACTCCCTTTGCTTTACTACTGGATTGTAGGGGGGTGGGGCAGAGGGTTCGGAGGTTTCTTTCATCTCCAGTGCTTCTAATTTCTTCAGCAGCTGTCGCAGTTGACCATCACTGAGGCTGGTTCACTTCTGCCAATGAGCCAAACCCTCTGAACTGTCTGAGTCTGAGTCGGGATCAGGAAGGGGGAGGCACAAGTCCAGTTCTGCCCGAGACTCTGGATCTGGTTCCAATTCCGATTTGGGGTCTCCTTCCTCTGGGTCAGAGGTGACCGCGTTTGCACTCTCTGCCTGTACTTTCGGGTGAAAGCACCATTTCACTTTTATCTTCCCCCTTATGCCAAGGAGGCTTCTGCGATGCCGTGCCAGGCACAACAGGGGGGGGCAAATACCATAGACGTAGCACTCTTCTCTACCTCTGACTGACTTTGCGAAGGAGCAGTGGCCAGGAGAAGAGATGCCACTGCTGCCCATTCCGATTTTAATTCCCTTAAAGTCTCAATTATCTATCTCCAAAACGTAGAATACTTCAGGGCTTCCTTTGTCCCTTTACTAATCTCATCCCACAACGCCTGGCCTATATGTTCCCATTCAGAAACTTCAAAGGTAGCTTGCGTTGTGGGGATAAAGCCACTATCAGGGGCCCACTTTAACAGCGTCTCTAACGCGGCACTATCATGTTGCAGTCCTCTCTGAGAATATGTTGGAGGAGCTCCATCACTGCCTGTTCCTCTTTGGATAGCGAGTGCTCCATCTCCTCCCCGGTCGCTCACCTGATCGGGGGAGATCCCACAGTTTGCAGAGGTCTGACTTCAGAGAACCGGGGCAGTGCAGAATTTCAGCTGGCTCTCCGCCCCCTCTTCTTTGATTGGACCTTCAAACTTGCACGCCGTGAGTTACCGATCTGAGGGTCCCTGTTCGGGCGCCATTTGTCGATGCGGGAGTCACGGACAATGCAGGAACAATCAATGTGATCAGCAAATGCCAATTTATTACAAAGCTTTAACTCTTTATATACTGTTTCTTACAGGCACTTACAGTGATTTGGCATATTATGATTGGATACATGTCTTGAAGACCCTTAGTGTCTAACACATAATTGGTCCCTGGCAGTGTTCAAGGCCAGGTTGGACGAAGCCTTGGGTGGCATGATTTAGTGTGAGGTGTCCCTGCCCATGGCAGGGGGGTTGGAACTTGATGATCTTAAGGTCCTTTCCAACCCTAACTATTGTATGATTCTATTATCACTGGCAGGCTCTGGCACTCACTACAGCTAGATGCCTGGATGGGTATCTGTTTTTGAGGGACATTTTTGTCTGGGTCTCTTTGTCCTTCCTGTCCAGCAGAGGGGCTTTGTTGTTTTTTTTCCTGTTGAGAGGATGACGTCCTTGAGCACCTTCTGGATGGCCACTGGCAGAGCTTATGTCTTAAGCTTGCCAGGCTTCAGCACTTTTCCTGCTTCCACTGCCTGCGCAAACTGCCTTGCCTTGCTCCTGCTCCCAGGGAGAGTGTTGTATTTATTTAGGGGTGCTCCTGTCTCTCCTGGTGCCCACCCCCTGTGAGTCAGCTGCTGTATCAACAGAGCTGCTGGCTCCTGGGCAAGTCCTGGCAAGGACTTGAGGCTCCCTTCGTGGCTGAAGCCGTCCTTTCTGGAGCTGCTCATCTCAGCAAAAGGAGTAGAGTGCCTCCTCAGCAGTTTTACTGATGATTCAAAACTGGAAGGAGTGGCTTATGCCCAAGTGTGCTTCAGAAGGATCTAGACAGTCTGGAGAGATGGTCATAGAAGAATCTTTTGAAAATCAGTAAAGTCAAGTGCAGGGTCCTGCACCTGGGAAGGAATCCCATGCACCAGTACAGGTTGGGGCCTAAGTAGCTCTGCAGAGAGGGACTTTGATGTCCTTGTGGAAAATGCGAGAGAAATGGAGCTCTTGGATCAAGTCCAGCAGAGAGGTAAAAGAGTGATTAAGGGTCTGGAGCATTTCTCCTATGAGGAAAGGTTGAGGTAACTGGGCCTGTTCAGCCTAGGGAAGAGAAGGCTCAGGGGGGATCTGATCAGTGACTATAAGTATCTGAAGGGAGGGTGTCAGGAGGATGGAGCCAGACTCTTCTTGGTGGTGTCAGGCAACAGGACAAGAGGCAACGGGCATAAACTACAATACAGGAAATTCCAACTGGATATGAAGAGCTTCCTTACTGTGATGGTGACTGAACACTGGAATAGGTTGCCCAGAGAGGTTGTGGAGTCTCCTTCCCTGGAGATACTCAAGAGCCATCTGGACAAAATCCTGGTCAATGTGCTATTGGTGGCCCTGCTTGAGCAGGGAGGTTGGACTAGATAACCCCTGGTGGTTTCTTCCAACTTCAACCATTGTGCTATTCTGTGAAGATATATTTCTTTAATTTGTTTATATTTCTGTTGGGATATGATTAGTTTTGAAGGCCTAGAATAGATATGTTTGTTAACTGTAATTCTTGGTGCAAAGGAACTTCGTACATCCTTACTTCTTGCCGAAATCAGGGCTTCTGTTCAGGTTTGGGCTGGGATAGAGTTAATTTTCTTCACAGTAGCTGGTATGGGGCTGTGTTTTGGATTTGTGCTTGAAACAGTGTTGATAACACCAGGGATGTTTTATCTGTCGCTGAACAGTGCTTACACAGAGTCAAGGCCTTTTCTGTTCCTCACAAACACACCTACCAACTTGTAGGCTGGGGGTGCGCAAGGAGTTGGGAGGGGACACAGCTGGGACAGCTGACCTCAGCTGACCAAAGGGATATTCCAGACCACATGGTGTCATGTTTAGCATATAGAACTAGGGGAAGAAAAAAGAATAGGGGACGTTTGGAGTGACAGAATTTGTCTTCCCAAGTAACCATTGTGTGTGATGGAGCCCTCTTGTCCTGAACACCTGCCTGTGATGGGAAGTGGTGTATTAATTCCTTGTTTTGCTTTTCTTCCATGTGTGGCTTTTGCTTTCCCTATGATACTGTCTTTATATTAATCCACAAGTTTTCTCACTTTTACCCTTCCGATTCTCCCTGCCATCCTGCCACAGGGGGAGTGAGGTAAACGGCTGCGTGGGGCTCAGCTGCCTATGGAGGTTAAAGCACATCAGCTTCATACAAGAAAAAAAATCCAAGAAGTAGCTAAAATAATTAAATATAATTTAATTAATTAAATGTAATTAAAAATAGCTTCATGTACTGACTCAGATTGCTGTAAACTAATTTTTTTCTTATACTATAAACTATTCCTTTCTATGTAGAGCATCCATATCTCACTTTCAGCAGTTTTCTGAAGTAATAACAAGTTATTCATGCCCTTGGTTAAAGTAAACATGGCTCTGCTCCAGTATAATTGAAATATCTAGGCTGTTCTTTTTCCTCTCCTCCTCTTGTCCCAATAATGTAGAGAAATTTGCAGGCAAAAAGAGCTCAGTGAAGAGAACTGAAGCTTTTGACTAAAATTATTAGTCTGTTTAGGTCAATTCTGGTGGCTTTTTTCTTATGGTTCATACTATATAACACATGTTAACATCGTAAGCCTTTTTTCTTTCTCTAATTATTAATTTAATAGATTATTAGAACAGATGGTATCTGAAGGAAGTATAGTATTTTGTAGAAAAATTAAACACTATTTTTCTGTGAGTAGGGGGTGGCAGACTTACTGAATACTCTCTACCTCTACTGTGGTGAAAACTGTGTTATCATCTATTTCATACATTCATAGTGCTACAGTAAGCCTGTCAGTATAATTAGAATGTCTGAATGTCTTTGGTTCACTAATCTCTTTCATGAGTCTCCTATATCCCATGAGTTCAGATCTATTCCTTGCTTATATCTATATGAAACTTTCTTAAAATGTAGAATTTGAAGTACTGATACTCTAATTTTGAATGAATAGAAATCGTTAACTCTGAAACTAAAAAACTTTGCTATATGAATTGGTGGATGTATTTGGATGGAGAGATAAGGTTATAAAGACTAATATTTATCACTATAAGCTTTGATCTTGTATTGTTCTGGGAAGCTGCTTTATCCTATGAGCTGATCGAAGTTTCAATGTAATTATTTTGTTGCAGATGAACCGACGCGTTCCTTGAGTGGTCTCATCTTGAAGAATAATGTAAAAGCACATTTTCACAACTTTCCAAATGGGGTAACTGACTTCATTAAAAGTGAATGTCTGAACAACATTGGTGATTCCTCCCCCTTAATTAGAGCTACTGTAGGTAAGTTTACTCTTATTACTGTTTTCTGCATGCTAAAGATGTTACAGATATGTGAGCTGCACTAGTGAGAATTATTAAACTTCTAAAACTTTGCTTCTGATAAATGTTACAAATGCACCATGTTTTGATACTGATATCGCTCTTCAGTGTGCATATATGAGATTCAGCTTGCTGCCAATTTTTATACCTAAAAACATGAACAGGGTAAAGGCCTGACTTCAGAACTGTTTCAGCACTGCACTTGCATCATTAATTGCTGCACTTCTGTTAGCTGATTTCCTCCCTGCCTTCCCATATTCATACCCCTTCAGGGAATCATTATACCATGTGTGACGCACATAATTAGTTCCTGTTTTTTAAATACCTTCTCTCAGAAAACAGTAGATAAAGTGTGGTAATCAGAACATCATGCCATCAACACATAGAGTTGATTTTTATTTAGCATGTGTTTTGCACCCTTCTGTGTGAAGTAATTAAGTTTTGTATCCTTATAGGCTTCTGTCTTAATAATGAGGTTGGTCCAGTACTCACTGGTCTCTTGATACTAGCTAGGTGTAAATATATTGCTACTTGCCTAGGCTACCTTGTTAGCATTATGAGTTGGCATGCGCTAGTCATAGCTGCTCTTTGGCATACATAAATGTTTTTGCTGTTCAAGCACTATCAATTTAATGAGCCAACCACAAATAAGATCTCTGGAATTCTGAGAGAAAGATGAGCAAGTACATCAAAACAGCATTAGGGAAAAAGTAATGCAGCCTTTGTAGTCTGTGCCGTCTGGTGCTAACCAAACACTGATACCTTTTGACCAAGATGGAAGCAAGATGATTAATCCCATTCTCAGAAGTCACTTCATTGAGGACAATGAAGATGGTAATACAGTCTATTTTAGAACTGTGGGTCAAGACTGAATGGTAACTACACGTTGTTGTATCATTGCTAAGCTTTTCCCTGTTTTAACCCCCAAATGAGTAACAGCGTGAAACTTTTCTGTGCTGTGTAGTACAGATATTAAAACCCCTTGTGCCAACACTGAAATATGGATTCAAGTTCAAAAAAGATGGCTGCATGTGTTGACCCGCAAACTTACCAGGAAATAAATGTGTCTATTTAGGAGCTGTCTGTGACTGATCTTAAAACTTTATTGGGGTTCTAGTGTAGGCGGGACCTTAGTATAGCTCTCTGCTTAAAAGCAAGCAGGGGAAACAGTTTGAGGGTTTGGAGTAGTGGCAGGACTAGAGAACTTCATTGCAGAAGGAAAGTGAAAGTTAATGATTGCCCTATGAGGGGAGAATTTTGTCATGAAGTTCAACTGTTTAGAATTGAATTCAGAAATGAACTTCAGGAGCTAAGCAGGCAAACCACCACCCGAAAACCCCCAACCTTTCCCCTGTCCCATTATTGGCATGAAAGTACTGAAGCATAGTTGCTTTTTCCTTACATTCATTTTTTTTTATTGTAGAATTGATGCTATAAACTGGAGTTGCATGTAATTAAAATAGTGACATAAAAGATGCTGTCATGCCAATTACAGTTCTGTTTTTAACAATTTCTGACATTCCTCTGGAGTCTGTTCTCTTATGTGTTTACAGGTCAATGAGCTCAGTTGCTGTACTTGTTAGATTTCCTATTTCTTAAGTGAAATATCAACAGGTTCTGTAATATGGATTTGCAGTTAAGTTCATTACAAATCAAAGCCTACCTTTATAAAGATTTGCAGTTTCCAGTTTCTAACCTTGTAGCTTAGTATGTTGGTTGGAAGGAAAGGCCTTGTTTAACTGTCAACTCTAGCCCAAACCTGTCAAAAAGCTGCAAGCTACTAAATTGATTATTTCTTTGATTATTCTTCTGATGTCCTTGTTTCTGTGTCTGTGTTGCAGAGAAAGCCACAAAGGCAAATCTGTGTCTGGAGTCTTCTGTTCCCTCCTGGCCAACTAAAGCAGCAGGCGGGTGGGAAATATTTCACATTTGAAAGGAAATGAAACTCATTAGAAGCCCATGTAGATTTCTTTTAACATGAGCATAAATGCCTAAACTTTTATATGTCTGTTTCCTCATTTTTTTTAAAATCTGTTGCAGAGCTTCAAATGCCATACCTATTGCATCTTTAAGTTCTTCATAGCCTGATATTTATTTATTTATTTACTTACTTACTGTTTCCCCCACCTGTAGTGGTGTAGTGGTTTAAGCCAAGCCAGTAACTCAGAACTTCACAGCCACTTGCTCACTCCCCCCCATTCTTCCCCCCACCTCACTCCTGGAGGGATGGGGAGGAGAATCAAAAGAATGTAAATCCCATGGGTAGAGATAAGAACAGTCCAGTAACTAAGGTGTAATAAAAATCTACTACTGCTACCACCAATAATAATAATGACAAAGGAAATAACAAGGGGAGAGAATATAAAACTGAAAGGAGAAAAGGAAAAGAAAACAGTGAACATAAGTAGTGCACAATACAATTGCTCACCACCAGCCAACTGATACCCAGCCTGACCTGAGCAGCAATCTGGGCCTTCCAGGTAACTCCCCCAGTGTTGACACGGGAGTAACGGACAACACAGGAATGATCAATGTGATCAGTGAATGCCAATTTATTACAAAGCTTTAACTCCTTATATACCGTTTCTTACAGGCACTTACAGTGATTTGGCATATTATGATTGGATACATGTCTTGAAGACCCTTAGCGACTAACACACAATTGGTTAAGCACAGGTGTGAGAACTTGACCTCGAAAGCTTGCCAACAGTCCACAGTTCTCATTAACTCAGTGAATTACAGCTTCTTCTTATCTTGATTGCTTAAGCTTCCTCAGGCCTCTCACGGCCTTGCTGTATCTTTCAGGATTATTCAGTTTATGTACCAATTATGTGTTCTCCCGTGAGAACACTGTCTCCACATCTCCCCCTTTTTGTTTTATGTATCTTTTGGATGACACTACTTGAGCAGGGGATTTGGGCTAGATCATATTTTCAACATATGCCAACTACAGGCTGCTGGGCCTGTCCCCTTTTTCTCCTGCATGGCTCTCTGATAACAGGGGAGGCCATCCTTCACATCAAGGTCTGGCATGGCATGTGTCCCCACCGCTCCAAGCCTGCTGGGTTGCAGCCAGCAGCAGAGCTAAAGGTGGTTCTTGGTGGCAAACACAGAGGCCAACCCAGTCTTGCCCTTGATTGTGGTAGCAGGCATTTGGTCTGCCTCAGTCCTTGCACCTTGTTGTCAATGCAGAGTTTCACCTGCTTCATCCAATAGCAAGTCGTTATCATGGCAAGGCACACACACAGATTTACATTAGCAGAGTAACTATTACAGGGTGCAGCAGCATGTTGAAGATGCTGATGCCAGCAAGGGACTAGCCAAAGAAATTTCTTACCAGTGGAATTCTCTCACCCTCTTAATTTGTTCCATTACCTGCTTTATAACACTACCATTGTATTAGAATATTTCTATCTTTTGCTTTAGCATTTTCTAGCAGCTACTACAAATTTGCATACTCTGACATCTCTTTTACAAGTGACAAATCCATATAATACAAGGTGTAGTTTCTTATCAGCAACTGGCTAGTAAATACAGGTGGTTTCATACACAAAATCAAAGCCTCTAACAATAGCTACTTTACAAACACACATATTCAAGCTGTTACTTTTCAGTTGCCCTCAAATGATGTTTAGCAATCATTGTTTTTTTCTCTTCCTCTATCTCATTCTGCTTGGGGTATTCACATTCAGCTCCTGCAGCTGAGGCATCAGGTTCCTCCATTTGTCTGTCCAGCTCATGGCAAGGCTTGACAAACTTTGCAGGCAGTCACCATGGACCTGTAGGCAGGAGGACACAAATACACCCCCTCCTCCAGGTTATCAGTTCTTGAGAAGTAGATAGGTTCTGTATCTGCCACCCTGATGCTGCTTAGGTGACGGCTCGTAAGGCTTGTGGTTGCACTACCCCTCTCGCCTTTTCAGTTAGCAGTTCTTGTTTCAACCGATCTATCTGTTCCTCCAAGTCCTGGATTCATCCCCAGGTTACTTTAAACATATTAAGCTTGGTTTTGTTTTATTTTGTTTTGTTTTGTTTTTTCTCTCCTCGGCTCTGGTGTCCATCCTGGTCCTTCCACCGGTGGAGCACTGGGAGCCGAATCGGAGGGCAGCTGTTTTTGAGCATGGGGACTGAACTCTTATCAAATCACCTTTTTTTCTTTTTTTTTTTTTTCTGAAGTTGCTCACCCTGCTTTGCACGGCTACAAACACCGGCCTGCTCAGCAGCAGCTACAGCTGCCTGCCTGCTTCAGCAGCAACAGTAAATACCTGCCGGCAACGGCACTTTTGCATTAACCCTTTCTTGCCCGAAATGTTAAACTGCTACCCGTTAAAAACCTTTACATGAACCCAACAACAAAAAATGCACAGAACACCGTCTGCCCTCAACACACACCCACACACAAACGTATGGGATCCCACAAGCACAGTCCACACAACTACAATATTTGAAGCACAAAATCCCGACAATCATTACTTTCACTGCACAATCCCATGAACAGAACATGGCACAAGGACCCTGTGGAGACTAACAGGAAACCAGCTCCGAGAAGCATCATTGCAGTGCGGGGTGGCAGGCTCAACCTTAGCAGGTGTCCCCGCAGAGGCTCTGCCTCCCCCACATCGCATGAGGCTTGGGCTTTTATACTGACCAAAATGCACACTCATTCCGACACAGGTGGCCAGCCTATGTTGGAAGAAGTAGCCAGCAGTATTTATAAAGGTCTCCAAAGGTCGATAGAAACCTGGACATACTTATTTTTACCAGCTTCTAGTACATGAGTATCACAGAGAGAATGTATTAAATGAGTTGTATATGGGGTCATAAGTCCTCAGTCCATCACAGTCTGCCCGATACTCCTGATAAGAGCATACGAGAGACCTTCCCACTGCGGGTCTTGATGCAGAACATACACCACCAGGAAAGCACACAATACATCTGCATCCCCCACTGGTCTCACTTCT